GAGAAAACAGTGGCTGGTTTTCAAGGCCCGTGGTCTGGTGGGCACAGCTCATTGTGGTAGTCTCTACTCTCTGAAGTCTGAGTGTTTAATCACAGCCGTCATACTTTTAAAATTGCTCTTACCAAATGTTTGGCTCTCAAAGAGTATAATTCACTGATAGCCTCAATAGTTTGTTTGGGTGAATTTGTGCTTTAAGATGGCAGGGTTGGAGAATTTCCCGGGTTCATGTCAATTCACATAATCTCGTTGCGTATTTTCATCCATGCCTCTGCTTTTAGCAGTAAAACAATTACAGGAAACACCAGGGAAGTTCTAAATGTAAATTGGGGGGACTAACTGAAAAACTGGTTGAAGAGTTCCTAAGTATCAGCAGTACTTCAGTAGACTTTTGGGGGAGAAATATTCAATATTCATTCCTAAATGGTTCTTAGATGATAAGAGGAAGTGTGAAAGGAAAAGAGAATGAAAAAACATAAAATGGATTTGGGCATTTGATATAGGTAGATAAAATAAAACAAATATCCTTCAGTCTTTTGCTTGAAATAAATCGGCATTTTTAACTGACCAAAAGTTTGTGAGCTATACATGCTGCTTTCTAAGTTAGAGGCAAATCATGGTCAAGTTTTAAAATTATAATTACCATATACCTTCATGTACAGTTCAGATCTGCATTCTTACATTCTGAAAGTCAGAAAGACCTAATTAAGAAAAAAAAAAAAAGGTAAAGGAAATAAGATTAGGTATATTTAAATGGCATAAAAGTGTTTTGTGGATATATGAACAGATTCAATTTACTATGTGTACATATTTACTCAGTGTATGTGCTTTCAAAGTAGGTAGGAAAAACTCAGTCTGATGAAGAATTATTGCTGTGTAAAAAGTACAGGAATATCTCATTGGTCACCATATTTATTGACAGGCACTTTCAGCTTTTAATTCATTTCTGAAAATGGACATTGGCTTATTCCTATTGCCATTATAGATTCATTTAACACGTGGCCATAAACAGCACTTAATCTCATCAACACATGTAGCTATAACTAAAAGCAGTCCCTCTGGAATTAAACAGGAATAGATAGCTGTATGGTTTTTCTTTCTGTTCAAGAACCACTCTGTTGAGGAGGAAGATAACCAAGAAAAAAAAAGAACAACTGCAAGATGCTCCTCTTTAGTACAAGTGAAGTCAGGTACAACTGTTTCCCCCTTTTCAGGCACAGACATTACTAGTTGGGATTCAGTTGTCTGCAACTTAAAATGACTTCATTGTACTTTAAACCATCCTGGCTAAACCATGACAAGTGGACACTCCATTCTCACGGAGCATGCGCTCTGACAAAGAGGAACAGAGTCCCCATGGCAAGATCACTCATTGTAAGATATACAAGGCATATCTGAACAAGTGTTTTTTTTTTTTAATTTTGATGCAAACTAGAAGCTCTTTTTTCCCCCAACATACTTCATCGAACTATTTACAACCTCTGTAAAATTTGTGAGTTTGAAAATACTTTTTCCACTATCACATGTGACGAATACAGTAAAATATCTTCACTCTATTTTCTTAAAGATGCAGTATCCTTCTAGTCCCTTTTCTTACGAAAATCTGAATTTTTATTGCGATTGCTCAGTATTTAGCATATTTAAAGTACCAATGAATGTGGGTTTCTATACAGACATCACTCTCTAATGAAACTGTGAAAATATAGCATTTTAATTTTATGTACATTTCTTAACTATAAAATGCAGGCAGAGCCATATATAGTATTATAAGCTGATTGCCTAAGAAGGTTAAGTAACTGACATTTTCTAGACAGCATGGATTATTACAAATTCTTTCTTTAAAAAAAAGCTCTGTGTTGATATTTATTCACCCACTGGTTGCTGCATTTACAGATGTGTACACACGTGTGTGTGTTAGGATTTTCTGTTAAGTGGAAGGCAGTGTAGGGAGGGGTAGAAATGTCATCTGGAAGATATGACTGACCAAATCCCTTTTCTAAACTAAGCCAAATCAAGCTAAAAAGACTTCTCTATGGGAGGTACTCCCTCAGAGAAACTAAAGGAAGCTATTTGGTTAATGAACTTACACCAGAAAGTACACTGAATTGCTGAGTTTACAGGCATCAGGAAAGAGCAAAAATCTGACATTGGATTATGAACTATGAACATTAAGGCTTTCTGGGCCTGTTATGATTCCTAAAAGTTACCTCACATTCAGTCCCTTACACAAAGACTGGAAGATGGATGCTGGTATTCTTAACATGATCAATTTCTGCCAATCCTCACTTTAATGCTACTACACCTTTACAATAGCATGATGGCTACGCTTCTAAGCAGTCTTTAACAACATGACAAAGGCATATTAATACATTTGAAGGCCTCACCTCACCAGATTTATTGAATTGCAGCTTTGATAAGTATAGTAAATAAAGCACAGAATGAGGAATACTGCATCTTTATCCATATACAAGCGCGTGTTATCATTCTAATGAACTGATTTCAAAGTGCAGAATTAGATTCATGGGTAGAACACAAATAGCAACTTGAAGTTATAAAGAGTTGCATAAAAATGAACACAATCTTCGCGTAAGCTATTTCAAATTTCAACCATCATGAAAATGGCCTTTCTAATCACCTAGAACCAGCATTTTTAAACACTGTTGCAATTTCGTATTTCCCACTTACGGTAAATGTTAAAGTGAATAAAAAGTGCTCATTTTATTTTAAAAATGTGGTTTATGTTGTTATCCAACTGCTTTTGAAAACAAATGTTCTATAGTGTTTTGTAAAAGTGATGCCAGGCAGTAGTATAATCTTTATGCTAAAGCCGCTGGAAATAGTCTAACTACCTTAATTTAAGACAAGCTACCAAGCAGCCTTCTCAGAGTCTCTCTGTACACAGTTCACAGGGTGAGGATACAAGTGGATGGGGGAAGTGTAAATCTTCTTCCAGACAACTTAGAATCAGAATATGAAAAGGGAACTCTTAAAACCTCAAAGCCTGAACCTCATAACTTTACAAATAACATCACTCCGTTCAAATCAATCTCTACACTGCCCAGAGCAAGGCTGACTGCAGGAGCTTAAGCTGTTCACAGTTTTACGTGGGTGAGTCCTCAACCAAGCACACACGCCCAGCTGCAAAGTGAACAGCTTCAAATGGAAAACCAAAGAATGGCTTCTACTCCGGGAACAACTGCCAGGTCCTTTAGGATTCCACTCCTTTGCTGTTGCTCATCATACACTGTGCTTTTTAAAAGACCCTGGAAATGCACATGGGATGGAATGGAGCCTTCTGCGTGTCTGAAGACATCTCCTTCTGCCCCAAACTGCTTTTTCTTTTCCATGGGGAAATACTTTCAGAAAACTCACCAAGGGGAATTCACCATGTCCCAAGCTAGATCAGGGACTCATTCACTTTCTTGTGCTTGGACCCCTTAGAACAGTGCTTCTCAACCTTCCTAACGCCGTGATGTATTTTCATTGTTACAAAGGGGTCGCGACCCACAGATTTGGAACCGCTGCCTTAGAAGTACTGATGTTACGGGGAAATGGCAGAATGCTGTCAACTCGTCCTCTCATCTCGGTCCGGTTTCCACTTTCAGAGGATGAGGAGGAAAAGCTCACTTCCCCCAATTTTTCCTATGTTACCAGAGAAATGCAATTCTTTCAGTTCTGTGCTAAATTTAAACCAAGCTGTCACTCAGGACGCTTCCACTGCCTGTCAGTTTTATGAATCTCAAAAACTGAGTCTACCTGGAATACTCTGAAGACAACTCTCAGCAGAGGCAAGGACCCACTCTTCTCCTGAGAGCAGGCAGAGCTCCATCGAACCTACACTTCACTTGAGTGATTCACCTACCACCTGCCAACTAGGTTCTGGGACGAGCGTCGGGGGTTCCTGGCTGTGTTTGTCCCACCCCGTTCTTTGTCACTAAGCAGAACTGATACTGGCACATATCAAGAGACCTTTTTCTATCCTGAATAATGACAGGCAATGTGAAGTAGGAGATGCATACAGTACAGGTAACAAACTGTCCAGGTGGTTAAAACCCCATTGGTTGGTGGGTAGTAGACTGTGTAGCTAAAGAAGCTCTTTATCAATAGAATCGCAGCCCTTGTTGGAGGGAAATGGCCTGATGAATTTTTCAGGACTGGCAGACGATACAGGGCACATATTTCCAAAGCCAGAATTTGACCTAAAAATCATTATACTGTTGTTTAACATTTAAAAAAAAATTCCTTTTAATACCATCCAACACAAATTGTCCTTGTTTCAATGTTCATGGTTCTCGTGCCATCAGAATAAGATTATCTGAATTAAAAGATGATCCTGAAAAGGATCGGAAGCAACCGGAAATTATTTCAGAATGTCCCAAACATTTAAAAAATGAGCTCGTAATATCGTGAGGTTAATTTGTGCAATTCCCCAAATCAAGTGTTTGTAATTAAAATATATTGCAGAGGTCTTTGCTTGGAGACCTTTTATATTTTAAGCTATAAAAAACTCTAACAACAACAACAACAACAACAACAACAAAATCTCACCATGTCCCTCAGCCACACAAAGCTGGAAAAAAACTCAGCTTGTAGCGGGGACAAAAAATAGGATCATTTTTCTGAAAGAATGCTTGTTGGTGATGTATTGCTTTGTTTGCTGTATATTTTACCAGTTGCGAAAAGTTTCATAATTTTGGGGGGGGGGTGGAGGGACTATATTTCCTCTCATCCTCAGCCCAGGATGAGTCAGATTCACTATCCCTGCAGATGCCAGAGTAGGACCACTGGGTCCTGATACAGTTGAGGAAATGAAATCTGTATAGAAGAACCTTATGGAGAGTCCCTTGCCCTTGGCTCTCCAAGACAGGAAACTAGCACCAGGTCGGGCTATCTATGGGGAGCGTTCCCTTTCCGCGGACTCAGTTCCAGGGAGAACTGACCCCTTAACTGAAGAGTTAATCCCTGGTTATGCCTCCCTTGCCTTTCTGGTCACCAAATAACTGTTTTCAAACAAGAAAAGGGGAGCATAATCTTTAATTGTGGTCCTCAACCAAGCAGGACAATGCACAGCAGCAGATTACCTCAGTGCTGGAAATGTAACCAAGACATCTGAAATGCTGGGGTGTTTTTTACAATCCCTTTAGTAAGTATGAAAATTGGTAACGTGAGTCCTCAGTGAAGTTATTGTAGGAAAGTCCTTTTATTGCTTTTCTCCTCAAGAGGCGCCTTATTTCCATCTCTGCTTTTGTCTGATTTTTTCATGTTTACTGACTCTGCCTGGGCAGCCTCACCTCTTACCTTGGTGCCAGTGTGTCTAAGAAAGGTTTTTTCCCCCCCGATTCCTTGTAATCAAATACTAGGGGCAGGAAGAGATGATGATGCCTAGGTGACAGAACACTGCAATTTGAAGTGGGGCAGTAGTTTTTTTAGACAGGCTCTTCCTATTCAACTATACAGGACACCTCTGTGCCAGTCCATGCCAGGGCAGAGACCAGGACGACGAGATTGCAACCGTAATGTTGCTGCCCCTCTGCTCGAACAGATGAACGAAACAGAATCAAAACAAAACAAAAACAATCAACAACACACAAATGAAAGATTCAATGTTGGTTCTCTTCAGGGCATGGCAGAATGACAAGTTACGAGTGACATCTGGCTGCCGCCATCACTACTGCCCGGGGCTGCTTGAGTGCCCCTTTATTTTCAGGTAATGGCACCTCTCCAAAAGCTTCTTCTTTTCTACTTTCATGCTGCTTGCTGGTAACAGATTGGATGTGTGTTCTAGCTTACTCAGACAGTAACTAAAATTTCTGTAAAAAGGGGTTACAGGGGCGGGATGATGAGAGAATCACCCAAATGTAAAAGGTCTTGCTCTAGCCATCTCTTTGTGGTAGATGACCTTTAAGATATCAGTAACAAAACGTCTGACAGCTCAGAAAATGTACAAGCTACAAACATCTGTAAATGGCAGAGTACACAGCACGGAAAACAATGCCTGTCTCTTCAGCAAGTGTGTCACTGAGCTCCCAGGCCAGTGTGAAGATGGTTCTCGTGTAGCCATGATGGGGGTTACCTTCAGACCGAAAGGAGGCGCGTTCCTTTGTTCCTTCTTTTTCCTGCTCTGTTTTCAGACATCATGGGATTGGTGATGCCCTTTTGCGTTAACACTGTGAAGGGGATTCAGCCCTGCTGAATTGGGTGCCGCTAAGAGATCCAGCTCTTACGCCCAGCTGGACAGGCAGCATTCCTCACACCAGCATATGCCTCCGGCGGTGCAGGGCCAAATGATCTGACCGGGAAAAGCTGCGATCACAGTCTGCGCACTTGAACGGCTTCACGCCCGTGTGTTTGCGGTAATGCCTCGTCAGTTCATCCGAACGAGCAAACTTCCAGGTGCAGCCCTCCCAGGTACACTTGTAGGGTTTCTCTCCTGCAAGAAACAAAGGGACACACACTTTGATGCACCATCACTTTTCCTTAACCGCGCCAGCACTCTATTTTGGGAAACTGTCGTTCTCAATGAATTTTCCATTTGGTAAATCTTCGACCTCACTGTCCCAGCAGCAGGTCTGGGGTCACACAGGTGAGGGTTTCAATCTCCTCTTTCCTGCTGTGACATCTGGCAAGTTAATTAACATTTGCGTCCTGGGTGATGACTTTGCTGCCAAAATACCACAAGGCATACACTGACTACCAGTGAATCTAATCACCACTGGGGGACTAGAAAGTAATTATCAGAGCCCTGTCAAATTTGAGTGGGCTCGAAGGCTGAGAGTCAAAAAGAATTATAAGAAGGCAGTGAGCAATGCTTTGTTTCAATACCACCTTCCTCCAAACGTGCATCACTTAGTTGGCTTAAGGATACTTTCGGACACAATGTCCATTTATCAGTCACTGAGTATATACACACAATTTCATTACAAGGTAAAGCACTCCACTATCCCCCGAAATTAGGTATTAAGTATCATTAATCACAAATGTCTATTTTTGCTTACCCGTTAGGAAAGAATCCTAGATAGCTTAGTAGTGTAAAGTTTAAATCCATTTTTCAGGACTTCAGAATTAGGGCAAGCCCCGAGGAATTATCAAGTTGGTGTGGGCACTGAAACTCAGCAGAGAAAGGTAGTCTGAACAAGTATGTAATTTGACCAGGTCCCTCAGTTAACTTGTAAGGACAGTAAAATATGCAAAACCTGTGCTGGGAAAAAGATACACTACCCATTGTCTACATGAGCTCCCAGGAGGAGCCGGACAATAGTTGACCCAGGTGAGTTGTATTCCTGGCTCTCATTCAGAATGGGTGCCCTGTCCCCATACAACCCCATAAAAAATAGTCTCCAGTGTACTTCTTGGCCACACACGGCTTGTGGTGAGAAGGGCCTAAAATAGGAAAGGGAGCTATTTGCTAATCTTCATGTATGGAGCTGCAAAGTGAGGACTGTTAACCCCATTTTACAGGTGAGAAAACTGAGGTTCAACATAGTAACTTACCCAAGGCTAGCAAAATCACGTGGATGGCTCTGAATCCTGAGCTTTTCACTGTGCTACTGTGGGGAGGATACTCCTTACCCCTTCTAACTCTGGTACATCCTCAGAGTTAGCAGCACTTTCTCTAAGTACCCTGGATTTGTTTGCATCCTATCACAACATACTGTACTACTGTACAGATTTTGTTTAGATATCTTTCTCCTCTACCAGCTTCTGAATAGTTGGGAGTTCTAGGACCATCACTCTATTTTAGTATCCTCACAGCCTAGAGTAGGTGCCAAATAAATATTCAAAAGAATGAATAGAACTGCAACACACACTCACACACACAGAGGCACGAAAATAGAAAACTACTGAACCTTATAAATGACATGTCCAGGTAATGCCTAGGAAAACTAGACCAAACCGGAGCTGGTATTTTTCACTCAACTGCTAAATCAATGCTATCTATACGGGTCCTTTTAGGACCAAATGGGCATTTCAGAAGAGAGTGAATAGTTCAGACCCATTAAATTTAGAAATATAATGCATTAGTTGTAGACCACAGGATGTTCCAGGTTACCTCCAATGACCCAAAACTTCAACTCCTGATTCATCCTGGTCATCTTAAGGAGACAAAAATCCATATTCACATTTCTTTACTGACCAGAGCTCAACAGGAATTAAACAAACAAAACTCAACAAAACTCCTAACATAAAAAGATTGGCAGTCTATTATATGGTATATCAATGGTAATTGTTAGCCTGCTTTTACACGTTATATGCCATCTCCAAGTGCTTTTGAAGTTTATACCCTGAGCATGGGTTCTAAGAAGTTAAGCTTGACATAAATCATGTCTTCAAAAACACAACCATCCTTGGTGCACTGAGCTTAGCTACTGAGATGTTTGTCACCACGGAACATCTCCTACCTACATTCTGTGTTACCATGGAACCGGCTACAGACGGTGTTAAGGCCTAAGAAGAAAAGAATAAAAGATCTTATTACTTGAAGCAGAGCACTGCTCGGTGTGTGGCACTAGGATGTGTGTTACTTTCTTGGTGAGGAAGTGTAGGATCGGGAAAGCTCTGGACCCTGCCCAGGCCATTCCAGATAGTGGAGGAAAGGGGTCCATAACTGGGATGGGCCTGGGAGATCTGCAGGAGCAATGGGGGCAGACCAACCTCTAGGCTTATTGTAAGAAGGATGTGAGGGGTGGTACGGCCCAACGTAGAGACAATTTATCATCTTAGGTGCTGTGGAGATTTTCTTAAATACCCAATTCAGACACTTAAGAGCTCTTTAATTTCTTCCTCAAAATGAAAGCAGTCAAACTTTCATTCTGGGTATTTAATAATGGCAGTTTGGTCCTCTCTACTTGGAGGGCGAGCCAACTGTGGTCTCCACTTCTACAATTTTAAAGGTAGAAAAACAAGACGAGTATTTCGTGAGTGCAGAAATTACATAAAACTTAAATGTTAGTGTCTCTAACTTTTTATAGGAACGCAGCCACTTTCGTTGTTTACACATTGTTTTAGCTCTTACACAGTTAACACTCACCTAATAATGGGTAGGTGAACGAATATTTTCGTTATTGGTGTAATCACTTATTCTCAAATTAGGCTCTTTGATTCAAATTCCGTCAGTGTTCTTTCTCAATAATAAACAGATATGGTATTTCATGTCAAATACTTTGTGTCCTGGGCAATAACAGGAAATGAGTGACACTCCCAAAGGCTCATCTAATTTTATCAGATTTTAAAAATGATCTTCAGGGTCTTTATTGTTATTAAAAAAGTGTAGTCATGACCAAAGGTAACCTATGATGGCTGAGGGTCAGGATGGGGGAAGATTCAGGAATGGCTCTCTACACTTTACCTGGTGACTCAGAGCAATGATTCTACACAATGATCAAGTCCTGCCCTACTCCCAATGCCTTCAAATACAGTTGTGCTAAAATGGCCACTGGGAACAAAGATGCCTTACTGTTCTACCGAGTCTGGAAAGGGAAGACACAACATGGGAAGGATGAGAAAGTAGAAGCTTAGTGAATTTTCCTTAAGTTTATTTGAATTAGAATTCTTCAAATGTGTTATTCCAAACTCTTTTCCCTGGAAAGAAGTCTGCCCACGTTCTTTGCTCCTTCTGTCGAACCTACAAGTACACATATAACCTCTCTTGACAAAATCTTCAAACCGTGGTTTAAATTTAATTTAAATTAATTTTAAACTGAGAAAATAAATTTTCTCTGGCAAGAGATGTTTGGAATAACAATTCTAAGATGGGCATTTTAAAGAGGGGAAGGGCAGAGAAAGAAACTGTAGCAAAGATTTGTCTCTAGGTCCACAACTGTGGAGCAGGGAAACAGTGCAAAATTTGAAAAGTAATCTGCCAGGTATGATCAAGGGTAACAAGGAATCATGAAAAACAGGGAAGAGGCTTCAGAAACACAAACAGTGCATATTTCTCTACTCCATGAATAAAACCAGTGAGAATAATATATAAACTTATAAGCTACAGGGGCCTAACTAATGAATGAATGCATGTAAATCAATGAAGCCTTCTCCACAGAGGGAGGGGAGAGGGAAGAAATATATCAGAAAAAAGTAAATTTAATTAACTGAGTACAAATGACTTGTCCTTAAAATTTTCCATATAAAAATGTATACTTCTGGGGTGGCACCTGTGGCTCAAGGAGTAGGGCGCTGGCCCCATATGCCAGAGGTGGCAAGTTCAAACCCAGCCCTGGCCAAAAAAAAAAAAAAAAACTAAAAAAAAAAAAAAAAGTATACTTTTTTCCTTTTACTATCTGAAAATCTATTTTTTTTTTTTTTTTTTTTGAGACAGAATTTCACTTGTCACCCTTGGTAGAGTGTCATGGCATCACAGCTCACAGCAATCTCAAACTCTTTGGGCTCAAGTGATTCTCTTGCCTCAGCCTCCCCAATAGCTGGGACTACAGGTGCCCACCAGAATGGCTGGCTATTTTTAGAGACAGGGTCTCACATCCCTGAGCTCAGATAATCCTCAGCCTCCCAGGATTATAGGTGTGAGCCACCATGCCTGGCCCTAACTAAAAATATTATGTAAAAGATTCTTTACTCTTGTTGCCTTGTTAACAAAAATGGAGTTTAGGCATTCTCTCTTCATGCTTAAAAAAAAAGAGAAGGAGAAAGAAAAAGAAGACAAGGTCTTCCAATCTCTCTTGAGAGTTAGAAGCAGAGGCACAGGGCTTGGGGGAGTGAAGATGGGTTCTGACCAGGCGGAAAACTCGCTTCTGCCCCTCTTCCAACACAGACCTAGGTTTTGATCATACCCACAAAGTGCCTAGTATTTCATTTAAACCAATTCAACACATTAATAAATGTTCTCTTTACACTAGTCAAATTTTAGAAATGGATACAAAAAATTACAGTAACTACCGTATTGTGTCCCACTGCACATTGTATTTTGTGCTTGAGCGCTGAAGGGATTTACAGGGTGAAATCTTATAAACACACTAAGATAACAGGAACAAACTTCATGATTTGAGTGAAAAACTAATTAAAATGACAAGGAAGTTCCTTACCTCTCTGGCAGTCTATGTAAACAGGCCCTGGAAGGCTATACTGGGGAACAGAACCTTCCATTTTGTCTTCTTTCCTTTAAAACTTGCTAGAAAATAGCTAAATTTAATTTTAGAGAGTCAACGGCAGGGACAGAATGGTAAGTGAATTTTCCATGAAAATGTTCCTATGGCAAGAGTTGGTTTGGATAGTTAAAGGGAGTGAGATGCCTCCCAGGAGGCTGTACGATGGTGATCGTGGTGACTATAAACATGATTTCCGTTAATTTCTTCAGATCTAGTAAATTCTCCTTAGATTTATTTGAATTAGAATTCTGCAAATGTGTTATTCAAAACTGTTTTCCCTGGAAAGAAGCCTACCCACCTTCTCCGCTCCTTTTGTCAAATCTACAAGTAT